TGTATGATATTCTCTATATAGCAGCCAGGGTGACTCTTTTGCAATTGAAATCAGTCAGTATCACTCTTCCACTCAGAACCTCCAAAGTCTCTCCTTCACACAGAACACAATTCACAATCATGATGGTGGCCTCAGAGCTGCCTCTGCCCTATTTACTACCACCTCCCCCATTCTGCTACAGCTACTCCATCTTACTTACTTGACAACAGTGTGCTCCTCCTTCAGGGCCTTTGCTTTTACTTATCACTCTGCCAGAAGTCTCTTTCCTGCAGTGTTTGTAGGATTAACTGTCCCCTTCTTACCCACATAGGGGTCTATTCAAATTTTATCAGAGAACTTGTCCCTAACTCTCCGATGTCAAATAACGCAACTTTTATCAATTCTATCCCTACTCTTTAAATAAAAAACAAAACAAAAAACTCCTTTTAAGTCATCACAATTCCAGACTTTAAGATGTATTACAAAGCTATAATCATCAAGACAGTATGGTATTGGCACAAAAACAGGCACATAGATCAAAGAAATAGAATTGAGAACCCAGAAATGGATCCACAAACATATGGCCAACTAATCTTCTACAAGCAGGAAAGAGTATCCAATGGAGAAAAGACCATCTCTTTAGCAAATGGTGCTGGGAGAACAGGACAGCAACATGCAGAAGAATGAAACTGGACCACTTTCTTACACCATACACAAAAATAAATTCAAAATGGATGAAAGACCTAAGTATGAGATAAGAAGCCATCAAAATACTGCAGGAGAAAATAGGCAACAACCTCTTTGACCTCAGTTGCAGCAACTTCTTGCTTGACTTGTCTCTGGAGGCAAGGGAAATAAAAGCAAAAATGAATTATTGGGACCTCATTAAGATTAAAAGCTCCAGCACAGCAAAGGAAACAATCAACAAAACTAAAAGGTAACCAACAAAATGGGAGATTATATTTGCAAATGACATATTGGATAAAGGGTTAGTAACCAAAATCTATAAAGAACTTAACAAACTCAACACCCAAAAAACAAACAATCCAGTAAAGAAATGAGCAGAAGACATAAATAGACACTTTTCCAAAGAAGACATCCAGATGGCTAACAGACACATGAAAATATGCTCAATACTGCTCATAATCAGAGAAATACAAATCAACACCACAGTGAGATACCAACTCACACCTGTCAGAATGGCCAAAATTAACAACGCAGGCAACAACAGATGTTGGTGAGGATGTGGAGAAAGAGGAACACTTTTGCACTGCTGGTGGGAATGCAAACTGATGCAGTCATTCTGGAACACAGTATGGAGGTTCCTCAAAAAATTAAAATAGAGCTTCCCTGGGACCCAGCAATTGCACTACTAGGAATTTATACAAAGGATACAAAAATGCTGATTTGAAGGGGCACATGCACCCCAATATTTATAGCAGCACTATCAATAATAGCCAAATTATGGAAAGAGCCCAAATGTCCATTGACTGATGAATGGATAAAGAAGATGTGATATACATACACAATGGAATACTACTCGGCAATGAAAAAGAATGAAATCTTGCCATTTGCAACAATGTGAATGGAACTAGAGGGTATAGTGCTAAGTGAAATAAGTCATTCAGAGAAAGATGGGGATCATATTATTTCACTCGTGGAATTTAAGAAACAAAAGAGATGAACATGGGGAAGGGAAGGAAAAATAAGATAAAAACAGAGGGGAGGCAAACCATAAGAGACTTAAATACAGAGAACAAACTGAGGGTTTCTGGAAGGCAAGTGAGTGGGAGGATGGGTTAAATGGGTGATGGGCATTAAGTAGGGAACTTTTTGGAATGAGCACTGGGTGTCATACATACGAGATGAATCACTGGGTTCTATTCCTAAAGCCAAGATTACACTGTATGTTAACTAACTCGAATTTAAATAAACAAAACAAATCCATATATGCTGGCTGGGGTTTTTCATGGATGGCCTTTATCAGGTTGAGAACGTTATGTTCTATATTAGTTTACTGAGTATTTTTATCATGGAGGTGCTGGATTTTGTTAAGTGCTTTTCATCTATTAAGATGATTGTGTGGTTATTGTCCTTAATTCTATTGATATGGTATATTAATTATTTTCAGATGTTTGGAGACTTAGTTTTAACAAATGATATTCTAACAGGGAAAAAAAACCTCCTTTTATCAGTTGATTATTATCTTCCCCACCAGAACATCAGTTTTTGAGTGCAGAGAATTTTTTTTATGGCTGACTCCCCAGTTCTTAGACAAAGGCCTGAGATAAACACTTAGTAAATACCTGTTATTGAATTACATAATCTTTGGGTGCCTTATAGAGTTAGAGAAGGGCTGTCTTCTGGGGTTCCCTAATACTCCAGATGGATGTTGCCCTTTCCACTCTCAGTGGGTAGGAAAGGAATCAAAATCCAGAAACATGGCTTCTATAGAAGGAGATAGGAAGAATAGCACCATACAATCAGAGGTGTTTGCCGAATTTGTACTGCCTCTTCACCAAAGCTATTGGCTATTTTTGAATTGAAAATTTTTCCTTTAATGCCAATGACATATGTTAACCCCATTGTGCCAAAGAATGCTGCAGGTTCATCAAAGTCCATGTGTACTTCTTCATGGTGTCCAGATACATTGTTTCCATTCTCCCCTGGCATTTGGGTGAGACCCTGTGACAGTCCCAGCCAATGGAAAATGTTTGCCTCTGTGTGCCACTTCCAGGTCTGGCCCATTAAAGAAAAGAAAAGAAAAAAAGCAAATGAAACAAAAAACAAAACAAAAGCCCTTTCTGCACATGTTCTTCTGTGCTCTTTCCCTTTCTGTCTGCTAAATGTTAATGCTCCGGGAAACCTTGGAATCCACATGCTGAAGCTTGGCATAACTTTTGTCTGCCTGGGTCTCTGAATGACAGCACAGAGCAGAGCTACCACTGACTTGAACACCTGCCTGTTGATTTTGAGCCATTACACACTGTGGGTCTGTTTGTTAACATGCAATATTTGTCACCTTCTTACTTTTAAAAAAAATTCATTGCTTGTGCGAAATTCAAATTTAACTGGGCACCTTGTATTTTTATTTGCTGTATCTGGCCACCTTACAATAAGGAATCACATTTAAATTCCTTACATATCCACCCAGAAACTTGTACATGAAGGTGTATAACAGCATTATTCATAATAGCCAAAAGGTGGAAACAGCTCAAATGTACATCAGCAGACGGATGTATGAACAAAAAGTAGTATATCCATGTAAGGAATATTATTTGGCCATAAAAAGATATGAACTGCTGATACATGCTACACAACATGGATCAACCTGGAAAATGTTACGCTAAGTGGAAAAGGTCAGTCACAAACACCCATATACTCTATGATTTCATTCATATGAAAATCCAGAAGAGGGGAATCCATAGAGAGAAACCATAGATCACTGGTTGCCTCAGGCTGGGGGGAAGGGGAATGGGAGGATAGGGAGGGTAACAGCTAAAGGACCCATGGTTCCTTCTTGAGGTGATAAAAATGTTCTAAAATTGACTGTGGTGGCAGTTGCACACTTCTGTAAATAGTCTAAAAATCATTAAGCTGTACACTTTAAAATGTACAACTATACACTTATAGTATATGAGTTATATCTCAATAAAGATGTTTTTTAAAAACAGTCCTTATATGACTGTATGTCCCAGCAAGCTCTAGCATCTGTGTCACTGCTCTGCTGCCTTAGCTACCACTTAGGAAGGCATTAAGCATTCCAGAAAGTGATCTTTAAAAGAGGGAGTTTAGGGATGCCTGGGTGGCTTAGTCGGTTGAGCGTCCGACTTCGGCTCAGGTCATGATCTCACAGTCTGTGGGTTCGGGCCCCGTGTCAGGCTCTGTGCTGACAGCTCAGAGCCTGAAGCCTGTTTCCAATCCTGTGTCTCCCTCTCTCTCTGCCCCTCCCCCAGTCTCACTTTGTCTCATTCTGTCTCTCAAAAATAAATAAATATAAAAAAAAATTGTAAAGAGGGAGTTTAAATTGTGATATTGTATAAAAAGCAAATAAATAAAAACCTTGATTCTTCTTGAAGTGGTGTTTGACAAATAAAGAATTTTTTCAGTCTCCAAATATAATCTTGCCTGGAAAAGTAGATATGTAAATTATGAATATGTATCTCCATAAAGCTTTTTAATTTTCTCTCTTAAAATCTTCATTTTCTACTACTCAAAAACAATCCCTCCAAATACCTCTCCTTAGTTAAAATATATTAATTATATAACTGCTGGAAAGTACTTTAGAAAACATTTTTTTACATTTTTCTCCATACAGTCACAAGATCACTATACTTCCCACCAATTTTAAATTTGTAATATATAAGGAATACCAACATCTTCATTTTTTTTAGCTCGCACGATTGATATTACCATGACAACTTACCACTAGAAGGGTAAAATTGGTTAAATTCTCCTACTATTTTATTTATAACATTTAGATTTTAATGCATGGCTCTGCAGTTCAGATGAAAATGCAATAGGTTTAAAAGTTTTTTATTTAGGGACATCTGGGTGTCTCAGTCGATTGAGCGTCCAACTTCAGCTCAGGTCATGATCTCACATTTCGTGTGTTCAAGTCCCACATCGGGCTCTGTGCTGACAGCTCAGAGCCTGGAACCTGCTTCAGATCCTGTGTCTCCCTCTCTCTCTGCTCCTCTCCACTTGCCCTCTCTCTTTCAAAAATAAATAAACATGTGCTGACAGCTCAGAGCCTGGAACCTACTTTGGATTCTGTATTTCCCTCTCTCTCTGCCCCTCCCCCCACTCACTCCTGCTCACTCTCTCTCTCTCTCAAAAATAAATAAACATTTATTAAAATGAATTATTTAAGTCATCTATGATTTTGATTTGAAAAAAGCAGGAATTAGAGTAATTTCTAATATTTTTGACATGAACAGATGAAAATTGCACTGTCTTATTTTATCATAGAAAGTTACCCATGAAAAAATGAGCAAAAATATTTTTCTTTGTAGGTATCAGTTAACGAAGTCAAGCGACTTTTATCACATATATCGGAACGAAGAAAATTGATTAAAGTAATCTATCAAAGAGAAAATGCCTTAGGAAAAAAGAAGATTCAACGTAAATTAAGAATAAGAGGAATTCAAAATAAAGATCTCTCAAAAAGAAATAAAAATCATTGTAAGTAGAATTCTTTCTAACATAAATTTAAAATTACTTGATGTAATCTAAAATAAAATTTTAAATCTACTTTCTGAAAACTCTTAGAATATAGTCATAAATATTTATATACACAAAAGCTTTAAATTTTGTGAGCTTCTTTTAGATTCAGAATTTGTTCTGATGATAATAAGCAAGGTTGATAATTAGGACTCATGGATTAACAAAAAATCTCCAGGGGTGCCTGGGTAGCTCAGTTGGTTTAGCATCTGACTCTTGATTTCAGCTCAGGTCATGATCTCACAATTTGAGTTCAAGCCCCACATCCAGCTCCTCACTGAGAGTGTGGAGCCTGCTTGGGATTCTCTGTCTCCCTCTCTCTCTGCCCTTCCCACTAACTTTCTCTCACTTTCTCACAAAAGTAAATAAACATTTTTTTTAATCTCCAAAATTATGTGGAGAAAACACGTGTCAGTTATTCTGCTAATAGAAACACTCCTGCTGAAAACAAAACCAAAATTAATATAGTGCCCCTTTTTTTTTTCTAGTCTAGCAATCTAAATCTCTTCCTAGTAAAGACATACCTGGTTAGTTGACAGATTTCTGTGGATGCAAGAAGGGTCTAGAAAATATAAACAATGTCTCCATAGCTTCTGTGTTCAGCAGTTAACTAGCCCTCAGTTATAAAATTTAGGAATCATTTCCAACATTTAATCATTTCCAACAGTTTCATGAAAACTATCTCTTTTCTAACAGATACGTATGAATTTCTATTTTATTAGCATCTTATTTAACAGAGGGAAACTTCTTTGGCAGACAAAAATTAAGGATATCCGTTTTTAATGGCATTATAAAATTATGAACATCTTAAATTCATTTTAAATCTAAGTCATATACATTGAAACATTAATTTGACAATTTTTTGATGTAGAAACATGGCTTGCCTTCTATTTAACATTGGTCTAATGATTGGCATTTCTAGTACAAACCACACTCAAACTGCATCATCCATGATTTCCCATCTTACATTTTCAATGAAACAAGGGACTAAAAACATTTATGGAACAATCTGTGAAGAGAATCCTTCCAGATATTTGTAGACTTTTTCCTCAGTAATTTATAGATGCTTCACCTACTTAAATTGGATAATTATTAAGGGCTCTCCTTTATCAGGTTTTTTCATTGTTTTCCAGTAATGTTAATAGAAACACATTTTCTTTTTGTAATCAGTTTACATATTTTTTAATGTTTTAGCTATTTTTTAGAGAGAGAGCACAAGTTGGGTAGGGGCAGAGAAAGGGGAGGACAGAAGATCTGAAGCAAGCTCCATGCTGACAGCAGCGAGCCCAATGTGGGGCTCAAACTCACCAACCATGAGATCATGACCTGAGCCAATGTCGGAGGCTCAACCAACTGAGCCACCCAGGTGCCCCCAGTGTACATATTTTTAATTCAATTCTATAATTATAGTAAACAGGAAAACTGGCACAAAAACATTTGGGATCAAACACTCCTGATCATTGGTGAGCGTGCAAGGTGGGGGAACAGAATTGAACACATTTACTAAAGGAGAATCCCACTACCTGCAAGTATTTAGTGTGCTGTAGACATCAGTAAGAAAGTTAGATAGAGGAAATGAAAAGTGTTGATTAATTTGGCAAGTAAGGAAGGTACAGATTGTTGAAGGAGCTTCTGCAGTTTAAAAGAGTAAATAAGAGGGGCGCCTGGGTGGCTCAGTCAGTTAAGCGTCCAAATCTTTTTTATGTATATACTTTATTGCCAAATTGGCTAACATAGTGTGTACAGTGTGTGCCTGGTTTGGGGGGTAGATTCCTGTGGTTCATCACTTACATTTCTTTTAATATGATTTATTGTCAGATTGTCTTAAGTGTCCAAATCTTAATTTCAGCTCAGGTTATGATCTCACAATTCATGAGATTGAGCCCCACATTGGGCTCTCTGCTGCCAGTGTGGAGTCTGCTTGGGATTCCCTCTCCCTACCTCCCCTATTCGCAGTCTCTCTCTCTCTCTCTCTCTCTCTCTCTCTCTCTCTCTCCCCCCCCAAAATAAATAAGTAAACTTTTAAAAAAATAAAAAAAGAGTAAGTATATCACTACATTGTACACCTGAAACTAATATAAAACTGTGTGTTCATTATACTGGAATTTAAAAACAAATAAAATAAAAGAGTAAATAATACCACCCTTCAAAAGAGATCTCTTTCCCTTATGTAGAAGTGGTTATATTATACCTAATAATAACAAATAATAAGTTATTTTTAATTGAGAATTTTCTATATTGTTTTAAGTGCTCTACCCAATTTAAGATAGGTTATATTATCTCTACTTTGTAACACTTGAAATTTGCAGCACAGAGAAATAATTTGCTTAGCATTATGAAAGTTACCTAGCAGGAAAACTAGGATTTGAACTTAGATGGTCTGGTGCCAAAGTCCTCTAGCCATTATGCCATATGCTTCTCATAAAAGTAAGGTGACAATAATCAAGAAATTTTAACGTCATGCTCCTGAAAATGGCTTTGGGCAAATATTGAATTACATGATAAAGATGCTACAATTTCCTGACCACCAAATTTACTTGAAGGTTTTGAAGGAAGTAAATAATAGTAAATAATTGCAAACATCTTTATTTTAGAACTCACAACTACAATGTATGCAAAAGACTTCAAAATTCATGTTTTGATATCAAAACGAAGATTTCAAAGAAATGCCTTCCTGTTCTCCAGACCTCTAGGGAGTGTTAGATGCATTCATCACTGACTACATGAATGTTCCAAGGACATTTGAGAAGCCCTGTCTTATAACAGTCTGAAGATTTACATAAATTAGAAAAATATTTCTTCCTGACAGAAGTACATATAGAAGGGTGGTCACTGCTAATAAGACCCATAGATAGAAATTGAGAACTAAGGGACTCCAGAGGACTCTTATTGATTCTAGTTGATAATTTTTTATGTGAGTCTTATTTGATAATGATTTTTAATTGTTTTACCTTAATATTTAAGAGTGTTTTCTCCCACATTTACTCCAAAAGGCTGCTTCCCTGCTCAGTTGAAGAGTTCTAGATATGACATAAAAATGTTGACATGCATGGACTTGAAATATCAGGTAGAGCTCTGATAGGAAATAAATGGCACATTTAAATTGAGTCCTTTGAGAAAAAGTTTAATAAAGGGTTTGTTGATTACATCAATTAATTAATAAGCTATTCTCTCCTAATTTTCTCTCACTCAAAATTTTGATCAGCATCCTTCCAATCTTTTACCCCACGTTTTTTTAGAGGAATTAACAAGATACGGCCAAATTTAGAGCTTAGAGCCCACAATAATTTACCATAAATCTCTAGGATTATATTTACCCACTGATCAACCAGATAAAAATCTAGTGATGAGGTTGAGAAAATAAAACCGTATTTACCAGAATGCCTTGTACAGTGTGCACTGCCCTTGTTATGGAAGATACCTTAATAGGCATTTGTGGATAGAAGGGAGATAAACATCCCCTCCTGATCCCCTACCTCCAACTCAACACAGAAGCCTGGTGTCATCTGATTCCAAATATTTACACATGGAAAGAAATTGCACTGTAGAGCCAGGGAGAAGAATTTTGTTATTTTTGTAAAAGTAAGAAGAAGAGAGAATGGGAGATCAATGGGAGAAAGCAGACATAAGGATCCAGAAAGGTGGTTATTGACTGCGCTAACTTGAGAAACCAGCACAACTCCAAAGTTAGGGGAACCCAAATGATATTTTAAAATTGGTGATGCCTAAGCTGACCATTAAAAGTTGTTTTTGTTCTTAGAATTAATCATCTTTCATTCTGCTCTATGAAATCATTGGTAAAAATCTATATTCCTGACAAATGCTTTTCAAGAGTGAATATTCTTTTGAGACAACTTGAAGAGTTGTTGGTTTCACTGTGGGTCACTGTGAGACCGTCCAGGAACAGTACCTCTCAAATCAGGAATTAAGAAAGTAGGGAAAGCCATGGAGAAGTAACCTTCTCTAGAGGGAGGGTTTGAACTTTACAAGCTGTAGAATAAACTGGGAATATAGGTTATACATGGTTATCAAGCTGGCTAAAAACCTTGTTCAACTCTGTTCTCACTCAGTTCCCACTTCAGCATTTTACACATAGGATATCATAAGAGATGGAATATAGGTGTTCTATAAAAGTGCTGTTCCCAAGACTTACTAGTCTTCCACATACGAGAAATGAGATTTAACTTAACATTATCAAAAACCTTTCCTAATTCTTAGTGACCACATCTCCTTAACTCAAGGCTTACAAACCATGTATAATAACCTATTAGAGAAATCAAAGAGATTAACATCAAGCTGTTTCTAGAATATGAATATATTTCTCCACATTTTGAAAAGAGAGAAACTGTTTACCCATTTTCCATTTTCCCCCTACCTAGAATTTGTCAAATAATAACCAATAGCATTTGCACTACCATTACTTCAAGGCAAGATCTGTGCCTGGCATTGTATCTGTCACATACTTAATATGAATCAATATTTGCTGAATTAAATTGAGTTGAATTCTTTTTATGTAAAGCTAGGATATAAAATCAGGTCTTCTGACTCCAATTTCAGCATTCTTTGCAATATACTACACTATAAGTGCTACATAAACATAAGAGAGCCTTCCATTTTTAGAGTATATTTGAATATTGTTTTACAGTTGAACATAATGCTTTCACATCCATTCCATTTTTTTTAATGGCATGTTCATTTTCCCTTTAGGTATCTTTTCACTATAACTTCAATAGCAATCCTTTTTTTCTGAGACAGAATTGAGTATCATAGATTAATTACCTTTATCAAATTGTTAGCAAGACAAATCAATAATTAATCATGCACTGGGAACAACGGAGCATATTCCTGCTGTCAACTGGAACACTACTTCTAAGTCCTTCCTGACAAGTCCTTACTGGCATTTCTCGGAGTTAATCATCATTAATTTTGGTGATCAGACCAGATCACTACTATGTTCTTGA